ATGATTCTCTAGCACTAACCCTAACCCTTAAAGTGGACTCAATTTGCACTATTTCTGGCAGTCTGCAACCCCCCTGACTGAATTTTGTGAAGCCAACACTTTCTTCATCACAAGCACATTTTTCCAGCAACCAAAGAGGTGACTATATAAATAAATATCTCCTGATGGTCAATGTAGAAATCAGATAGATTACATAACTAGAAACAGAAGATGGAGAACCTCCATTCTCTCTGCAAAACCAAGACCAGGAGCAGATTATGGCACAAACCATAAACTGATAATATAAAAAATATAAAAAATTAGGTTAAAGCTAAAGAAGAACATTAAACCAACCTTCATGCCAAAATACAATCTGAAGAAACTTCCTTTAGAAGTTAAAAATAATGTAAAACATAGATTTGCATTATTAAGCCTAATTAACTGGAAGCCAGAAGAACTCTGGACTGAAGCAAAGAATATTGTGAGGGAAGAATGCAAAATAACTATCTCTAACCAAAGCTCCACTGGATGACAGATAGGATGGACAAGAAGCATAAGTAAAAAGTGACAAAAATAGGGTCAGAACCCTGAACACAACTTTTCAATGACTTGTGTGGAAGGGCAAAGAGAACTGAAGTAATAATTAATGCAGAGAAATGGACTATGGCAATGAAAAAGGTAGAATAGCAGACCTCCTCCACAAGAGAATTCAAAGGGAAATTTAAACCAAGAACATGGATCCTTTACAACTAGCAGGAGAACACACTGGATTATCAAGAGGAAATAACAGTATATTGGAAACAACATACTGAAAAACTATATAAAAGAGATGAAAAGATGACAGATTCATTCAGGGAAAAATTTGCAGATAAACTCAGAATTTTATAAAGTGAGATGGAAACTGCACTCTAAGCAGTTGGAAGAAATAAATCACCAATAACAGATGGTATACCAATAGAGCTGTGTCAAGCAATAGAAACAGAATCCATTTAAATTCTAACTAATCTGTCAATCTGTTAACAAATATGAAAAACAAAAGAATGTCCCACAGACTGGAAATGCTCAACATACATAGCAATCCATAAGAAAGGGAACATCAGGGATTGCAGTAACCATAGGACCATTATATTAATCTTCCATGCAAATAAAGTAATGTTCAAAATTTTACAACAAAGGATTTTACCATATATGGAGTGAGAAATTGAAAATGTCCAAGCTAAGTTCAGAAAAGGAAGAGGCATGAGGGATCTCATATTGCAAACATACATTGGCCAATGGAGTGAACCAAAGAATTTAAGAAGAAAATCAGTTTGTACTTTACAGATCATAGCAAAGCCTTTGATTGTGTAGATCATGAAAAACTATGGATCACTTTTAAATAAAAAAACTGTGCCACAAACATTTTAATATCCTCAATTCAGGACAAGAAGCTGCCATCAGGAGAGAATATAGAGAAATTGAATGGTTTCCAATTGTCAAAGGGGTCAAGCAAGCCTGCATTTTATCACCTTATCTGTTTAATTGTATGCCAAATGTATCATACATAAAGCAGGATTATATTCAGAGGAAAGAGGCATGAAAATTGGAGGAAGGAAATCAACAATTTCAGCTATGCACACGATACTATACTACTAGCAAAAATTAGCAAAGATTTGCAATGACAACTGAAGAAAGCCAAGGAAGAAAAAGAAAAAGCACGGTTTACAGATGAACATTAAGAAAACAAAAAGAATTACCTCCAATGATTTATATCACTTTAGACAAAGAAGACACTGAGATAGTGAAAGATTTCCTATAACTTGGCTTAGCCAATTAAACAAAATGGGGACAGCACTCAAGAAATCAGAACACTAGGACTTGGAAGGAAAGCTATGAAGAAAATAGAGAAGATCCTGAAGTGTAAAGATATATAATTGAATATCAAAGTCATGCTTGTTCATGCCATTGTATTTCCAGTTTCTATGTGTGGTTATGAAAGCTGGACAGTAAAGGAAGCAGATAGGAATTAACTCATTTGAAATGTGGTGCTGGAGGAGAATTCTGTGGATACCCTGGACTGCCAAAAAGATGAATAATTTGATCCTGGAGCACATCAGACTTGAACTCTCCCTAGAAGCCAAAATGATTAAACTGAGACTGTGATCCATTAGACTTATCAGGAGAAGCTAAGATTCACTAGAAGAGACGATGATGCTTGGCAATGGAGAAGGCAGCAGGAAAGGAGGAAGATCACATTACAGGTGGAAATCAAGGAAGCTACAGCCTTGCCAGAAGTAGAAAGACCTGAGAAGACCTATTGATGACAGGTTGACCTGGAGGTCTCTCATTCATAGGGTAAGCATAATTTGAAATTGACTTGATATCAGTTAACAACAACAACAAACTTTCACTGGATCAAATGCTCTTGCATTCAGAGAAGGACGATACCCTAGTCTGATGAATCACTGTGAGAATAACAGCACTTTGGAATAAATGATTATACTGATAAGCACATAAAGTATATGTGGGTTTGCAACCCCCCCCCTCGTGTATGTGTGTAGAATTTTCAATACGAAGACAACACAGGTAGTCTTTTGTTAATGGTGCTTGCTTCAATCCATCTATCCTTGATTTTCCTCAAGTCTAAATTATCCCAAGTATAACTTAATTTATCTTAGTGTAGATTCACTGGCAACAAATTAGTCCCCCTGGACATTATCACTGGTTAAATTAAAAATTAACTTCACACCTTCTATCCCTGTGTTACTTTTAAAAAATTCATCTCCTGTTAGAGTACAAAATCGAAGATGCATTAAAACTGTCACCTTGCAAGCATAAAAGCAAAATGAAGAGTAGTATGGATCTCATTCCAAAGTATAAGTGCCTTTCTGGCATTTCTTAAAGTGCTCTGTGTTAGCATAATACAACATAGCAAATACTTGCACTCCAGTTCATCTCATATATTCTTCATATATGGATGCCATCACTACAAAGTATTACCAACTAAATTGAATACTTCATGCATGCACTACATTTAACCGAATGCTTTCAGGGAATAAACTGAAATGGTACTCATAACTGAATGGTCCTATTATCTTTGAAAAGACTGGTATTGTCAGACTGACCTCTAAAAAAGCCATGGTAAACTTTGTGATCATGGGCTCCAGGAAAATGAGTGTCAACATAGTAATACAAGTGCGTTTCTGTGATTATGACATCTCCTTGCAACGGTACTAATGTGGGACAGCTGGATTTTCCTGTGCTATCCCATTATGTATCATTATACATATGGCAAGAACAACAAGGCCATAATGGCTCCTAGCCTTCATGAGCAATATAGCATTCTTGATTACTGTTTCTGTGGGGCAAAGCAGACAGGCCAAAAGAAGTGGTGCAAGGCTGCTCTGGGCAGGTCAGGCTGAGACTGCGGTGATGGCATTGCCCACTCTCAAAATGGCCGCTGCCAGCAGTCTCAAGTCAAGCACTACAGGAACAGATTAAAACTACTGCTTTGGACCAGAGCACAGCTTTGTGGCAGCTTTGGGCATCATCTATACACCATTCCCTTAACTCAGCCTGAAGCCACTTCTTTTTGCTTGTGTTTTTTGGACCTCAGTTTTTGATCCTCTAGATCAGAGGTAGGCAATCTGTCCCCTTTAAGGGCCAAGGGACTTCAGCTCCCAGAAGCCTTAACTATGTTGGCCAATAGTTCCATGTTGGCCAATAGCTCCTGGGATTCTGGGAGCTGAAGTCCCTCGGCCCTTAAAGGGGACAGGTTGCCTACCCCTGCTCTAAATGCTTTGGACTCTAATTTCCAGCAGTGCCAGCCAGCATGGCAAATGGCCAGAAATCCTGGAAGCTGAAGTTTCAAACATCTGGAGGACCAAACCAGTTGGAGGAACAGTGTAGTTTCTGGACTACACTGCAAACTGAGATACCACAGCACAGGCCAGCTTAAATCTCCACGAGAAGATAATTGGATTGAATTTCATCAAATTTTATACATATAGTAGCAATGTGGCCTAATTTCCCCTTACTTCTGGCATATTTCTTTAACATATGCCACTAAACATGCTCCAGTGAAGTGGAGTACACTCCACATTACCAAATGAAGTTACCATTTTCTTCCTCTTCCTTCCTCTTCAATTTTCAGTGCAAAAGATGGCCATAGTTAGGGTTATACAGGTGCAAAAGATGGCCATAGTTAGGGTTATACAGGTGGAGAGAGGCAGAAATTTGAATGAAATTTTCAATGTGGTTGGAAGAGCCCTGTATGCTTAAAATTGAGGTGTGTATTTGTGTGTGTTCAAGAGAGACAAAGATAAGATAGTCTTACCCCAATGTTATGTGGAGGGGTGCTTTTGCACAGAGGTTTGGTGGAGATGCTGAGCAGCTGCTCAGTGTTCCTATATATAGCTCACAGTGGTGTTCCCATCATAAGTTCTGGGGCAACATCTTGCCCCAACTCTCATTGGAAATCTCACAGGAGCACAAATCCCATGAGATTTCAGTGGAGACTTGGCAGGCTCATATTAGGCTGCACAGGTGGAGGCCAGTAATTTTCAGCCTGAGAAATAAGGACTCTGCTCCCTCATGCATTTTTCCTTCCATCCCTGGATTTATAGCACTGAAGAAAGTGAAACAATGAAAATCATTCACACTTATAACTGCTATATTTGCTGTGACTGCATTCTTTTGGTAGCTTTGCCTACCTCTATTATTTGGATGCCTAAACTGTATTGCCAAATGTTCAACTGAAGTTTTAAGTTACTGCAAAACTAGAAATTGGGAGACTGAAAGAAAAATTAATTGGGATCAGAATTCTTATTTGGAGAGCAGTGCCTTCATTTTGCTACCCTCACTAACTTGTATCTAAGACTCCACCTGCAGTTGGGAACATAGAAAAAACTTAACTATTCTGTGCAATGGAATGTGATATATTCTGCAACTGAAAGGATATTTGCTATAGTAGAAGTTTGTACTTACAACCATACACTGGAAAATTAATTTTTTAAAAAATATTCACTATACTTTTCCAGAGAGCCAGCATAGCATGGTGGTTTGAGTATTGGACTGAGACTCTGGAGACCAAGGTTCAATTCCCTGCTCAGCCATGAAACCCACTGGTTGATCTTGGACAAGTCACATGTTCTTAGCCTCAGGGGAAGGAAATGGCAAACTTCCTCTAAACAAATCTTGCCAAGAAACCCCCATGGTAGGTTTGCCTTAGGTTGGAAACAACTGGGAGGCACTACTACTACTACTACTACTACTACTACTTTTCCAAGAGAAAAACAGTAGTCAGATGCTATTATAGTTGAAACTGTCACATTTCTCAAAGTAAATACAATGTTATTTATTTACATTAAAAAAATTCAACAAGTGAAAACTTTTTATGTTCTGACAGGCTAATAGAAACTGACCACAACAGCTTTTAACATTGTGGTGTTTAAAGGCTTTAATACTGTGGATAGTTTAATCATATTTTAACAATAACCTCTTCTGTGTGTTTTTCCTGTGTTTTGTATGAGCTTTTATCAGCCATTAATTTTTGTAAGCTTCCTGAGCCTCAGTTTAGTGTAAAAGGTGGGATATAAATGGGGGAGGAGGAGGAGAGAGAAGAAGGAGAAAGAGAAAATGAAGAGGAGGAAGAAGAGACAAAGAAAAGGAGGAAGTCAGCAGCATTTGAAGCATGTGCTATTCCATCTCTACCATTTAAAGAGGCCATACCTCTGTAACTATAAAAGTAACTAAAAAATAAGTTGCATTACAATAGGGGTGAAATTATTCCATGGTAAGTTATTCCAACAATTAGTTGTTATATAATTTTGTTGTTTACTTATTGCAAAAAAGAAAACATTCCAAGTAATTAATTAATTATAACAATCAGTGTAATTATTCCTCCACTGATCCACGAACCTTCTGACTTCTAAAATTTTCCAGTTGAACATGGCTTTGGCCCGCATCTGACCTGAGCTGAATTTCGCCGGCAGCATTGCGGCAAAATTGGCATTGACTTATGTGTGATATGTGTGATAACGTCTGGGTGTATTCTGGAAGAAGATTAAAGCCAGAGAAAGGTAAAACACTTTTTTAATAATGTGATAAACTCCCACATGTGAAAGGGATCTAGGAGTCCTAGCAGACCACAAGTTGAACATGAGTCAACAGTGTAATGCAGCAGCTAAAAAGGCCAATGCAATTCTAGGCTGCATCAACAGAAGTATAGTGTCTAGATTAAGGGAAGTAATAGTGCCACTCTATTCTGCTTTGGTCAGGCCTCACCTGGAATACTGTGTCCAGTTCTGGGCACTACAATTCAAAAAGGATGTTGACAAGATGGAGCGTGTCCAAAGGAGGATGACCAAAATGGTAAAGGGTCAGAAAACCATGTTCTATGCAGAACGACTTAGGGAGCAGAGTATGTTTAGCCTAGAGAATAGACAGTTAACAGGTGATATGATAGCCCTGTTCAAATATTTGAAGTGGTGTCATATTGAGGCTGGAGCAAGCTTGTTTTCTGCTGCTACAGAGAATAGGACCTGGAACAATGGATGCATGCTACAGGAAAAGAGATTCCACCCAAACATTAGGAAGAACTTCCTGACAATAAGAGCTGTTTGACAGTGTAACACACTCCCTCTGAGTGTGGTGGAGCCTCCTTCTTTGGAGGTTTTTAAACAGACACAGATAATCTGTTGCGGATGCTTTGATTGTGATTTCCTGCATGGCAGGTTGTTGGTCTGGATGGCCCTTATGGTCTCTTCCAACTCTATGATTCTATGGGCCCTGTATGCATGGGACAAATACAATGGCCACCACTTGTTCTGTTGGTTGGGAGACTGGGAGCACATGGCCAAAAGCCCAGTTCTGGTGTGAGCAGACCAGATGACAGTCAGCCCATTCAGCGCAAGGATCAGGTTTTACACATTGTACATGGGATTTTTTTTTTTAAAAAAATCACCAGTTGCTGCTGATTTTCCAGGAATATCCAGAGCCTCCTGATGTTATTCTGATGTTAGGTGGCTGAAATGCATCCCACCCAGTGCATCTGCTGCTGCTGCCAGTCACTCACTCTGAGGTCAGAATGAGGGGCCCAGCTATGTGACCATCACTGATCAGCTTGTTCTGAGCTCAGAGCGAAGCTACCCATGGTGGTGGTGGATTCATGGGTGGTTCAGTGGGATGCACATGTGGTTAGGCATTTGGCATCAGAATGGAGAACTTTGCAATGGAGGGTTCGGGCAGCTTCATAGGCAGGATACTCCAGGCTGCCTCACACCAGTGCAGAAAGGGGCAAGATGGTTACAATGTTGTGTCTAACAGCTAGTTTTTTGATTCCAGCTTCTGGATCTCTGTGAACCATTATGCTTTATTGAGTTGAATTATGTGGACAATTTCTAAGAAAAAAAAAACAAACCACTGAGAGTTTCAGTAAAATGTATCCCTTGTTTAAAAGGTTAAAGGGACAGAATCAGGTCTTTTATTTCTGATCCAGGGGTAATCAATATGTGACTGCATCCATCTGTATTTCCAGTGCCCCGGGGGTTCAGAATGGCCCAATTTTGCCATTGAAATTTGGTGGCATGGTAGCAAAAAAGCAATTTTTTCACTGTAAAAATACTCCCTTTTTTTGCTTCAAATATGGCACATGCTCCCTATACATTTTATTTTCAAGTAGATTTATACTTTTAGATAGCTTCTGGGAGTGCAGTTTATCAAACAGCAAGTCTTGCAACAAAAATATTCCTTTGTTTAAGTGAAGACTTTTTTCATTCCTGGAGTTCCAAATTTTAGTGACCAAATTTACATTAGCAGTACAGTGTAGCAACCCTCTCCTGTCTATGAAAGATGACCCACAAGTTTTGTTTGTTTAAATATATATCCCTCCCTAGATTCAGTGAGCTCAGTGTAGTATACAATGAAATCAAATGAGCATAATAAATAACAATAACAATAATTTAACATTAAATATACATTATTTATCACTTAAAATCAGTTAAAACAATTTAAAATAAGGCCATCCAAAGCACACATGCAAATTGGATAAAACCGGTTAGTCCCCAAAGACTTTAATTTAATTTTAAAAGCCATGTTGTGACTTGATGCCAGAATGATACCAATGTTGGTACCAGCTGGGTCTCCAAGAGGAGGATATTCTATAACAAGGGTGCCACAGCAGAGAAGGCCCTCACCCATGTCCTCCCACAATGGACCCAGAGGAGAGCTCCTTTAGCAGACCTCAACAGACCATGGGCAGGCATATATAGGCATGTAAAGGATAGGCACAAAGGCATGCATTGGTCTTTTTCTGCAAGAACCTAGTACTGAATGCATAGATCTATGTACTTGGGTTTCTTCTTCTTCTTCTTCTTCTTCTTCTTCTTCTTCTTCTTCTTCTTCTTCTTTGTATCCCACCTCTCTGTGTAGTTTAAAACATACTTTGAAACAACAACACACAACAAATAACAAATAAATGTAAAATAACTGTGAGAGAAGTCAGGTGTAACAGACACAACTTTGTGGCCGGTTGTCTACTCAGGAAAGACCTGTCAAAAGAGATCTGTCTTAACAGTTTTTTTAAAGCTATTTAAGGAGGTAATGTGATGGATCTCATCTGGCAGGCCATTCCCTAATCTGGGAGCAGTAGCCAAGAAGGTCCTCTGGGCAGTTGCAGACAGTCTAGTTTTTATAGATTGCAACAAGTTCCTCCAAGAGGACCTGAGTGCATAGGGTGGATTATACAGAAGGAGGCAGTCCTGAAGATAGGTTGGACCCAAGCCATTTAGGGCTTTAAAGGTAATAACCAACATCTTGTACTGTGCCCAGAAACTGATAGGCGGCCAGTGAAGCGATCTTAAGATTGGTGTTATATGGTCTCTTCTAGTTTTACCTGAGACCAGCCTGGCTGCCATGCTCTGTATCAATTGAAGTTTCTGAACTAGGCACAAGGGTGGCCCCATGTAGAGTGCATTACAGAAACCGAGATGAGAGGTTACCTGTGCATGTACCACAGTTTCAAGGACCCTAACTTATAATAATAATAATAATAATA